AAGGGGCTACCAAAGTGATTTTCTGCAGTGGCTGGGCCATTTCATGTTCCCATCAGCAATGTATGAGGTTTTCACTTTTTCCACATCCTTCCAACACTGGTTATTTTCTGTTAATTCTATTTTATTTTAGCCATGGGTGTGAAGTGGTATCTTGTTGTTTTTAATTTGCATTCCCTACTGCTAATCATGTTGACCATTTTTTCAGTGTTTATTGGCTATTTATATAACTTCTTTGAAAAAATATCTGTTCGAATCATTTGCCAATTTTTGAATTGGGTCCTGTGTCTCTTTGTTGTTGAGTTGTAAGAGTTCTTTATATGTCTTAGATAGTAGATATATGGTATATAAATATTTTCTCTCATTCTGTTGGTTGTCTTCACTTTCTTGATAGTGTCTTTTGATGTACAAACTTTTTAATTTTGATAAAGTCCAATCTATATATTTTTAATTTTGTTGCTTGAGCCTTTGAGTCAAATCTAAGCCTCCATCACCTGATCTGGGATCACAGAGACTTGCCCTTAAATTTTATTCTGAGAGATTTATTGTTTTAGCTCTTATATTTAGGTCTTTGACTTACTTTGAGTTAATTTTTGCATTGTTGTGAGGTAAAGGCTCAGCTTCTCTTTCTTTTCTTTTTTTTTTTTTTGCATCTGGTTATCTAGTTATTGTGGTATTGTTTGTTGAAGACTATTCTTTTCCCCTTGTCTTGTCACTGTTGTCCAGAATGATTGAGTGTAGATACATGGGTTTATGTTTGGACTGTCAGTTCTATTTCTTTGATTTATATGTTTATCTTATGCCACTACTACACTGTGTGGATTCTTGTAGCTTTATAGTAAGTTTTGAAATTGGAAAGTATGAATGCTCCATTTTTGTTCCTCTTTTTCAAAACTGATTCAGATTTTAGGGGCCCCTTGTAATTCTATACGAATTCCAGGATCAGTTTGTTCATTGCTGCCAAAATACACAGTTGGTATTTTGATAGAGATTGCACTGAATCAGTTACAGGTATGCATTGAATTCTTGGTTCTCATTTTTTTCCTTTTAGCACCTTAGAAGTGTTGTTCTTCCTCCTTCTGGCCTCCATGCTTTCTGACGAGTCATTCAGGCCAGAGAGTAACACACAAAGAGGCTTTGTCCCACGCTCGGGAGACCACAGCTCCTCTGTGTCCCTCCGAGTTTTGGCACCTGCCAATATCACACCTCCACTTCATTATAGCGTGGGGGCTGGAGTGGGAGATTGTGGGGGGGGAAGGGAGAGAGAGAGAGTAAAATAAAACACAATATCGTCAACTCTTTCTGACTCAACTGGTCTCTTCCCCCTTTTTCAGGCTAGAAATAATAAGTTTCTCTTGGAACTCTTTCTATTCCCATCTTTTATGTACTTCTGGGTTTTGGGCTTTCTTCAGGCCAGATACACTGAAGGGGGAAAAATAGTAACCTCACCACTGGTTGGGAAGAACTTTGAATTCTGGTGTCTTTCTCTATCTGTTGAGTGCCATTTACTTCTCAGTGTCCTTGGATGGCTAGCTGCTGCCTGTAGTCTGTGTGAGTTTGGTAATTGCATTTAATGGGAGAGACAAGGCGGATCATGTTTACTTGGTCTTGCTGGAACTGGAATCTCTTAAATCAGTATTTAAGAAGTCCTTATAACATATGGATACTAATCTCTCCTGGCCCTCGTCTTTAAATTTTTAGAAGTTACATCTTAAACTGAAGTTTTACATATTATTATAGTCAAATATACCAATCTTTTCCTTTATGGATTAGACTTTTGTGTTTTATTTAAGTATTCTTCTTTAAAATACTGAATTCTTGAAGATATCCTCATATGTATGTTTTCCACTTATGTCTTCTAGAAGTTTTAAAGTTTTCATTTTTATATTTATGTCTTTTGAACACCTGGAATTTATGTTTTCTAGATGGTGTGAAATAGACATCTGATTTTTCCCCCAGATGAATATCCTAGTACCATTTACAAAATAATTCACTCTTTCCCTACTGATGTTTAGGGCCATTTCCTCTGTCATATATCAAATTATCAAAAATATGCAGTTTTCTGGACTCCTTATTCTATTTTATTGTCTGTTGTACATTCCTTCTCAGTTATCTTATTGAATTAACTATTCAAGATTTAGAAGAAGCTTTGACATCTGGTGGGGCAAGTTATCTCCCTGTCTTTCTCAAGACTGTCTTAGCTTTTCCTGACGTTTAATCTTTAATGTGAATTTTAGGATAAGCTTGTGAAGTTTAAAAAAAAAAAGCTGGTGGGGATTTGCATTGGAATTGCATTAAATTAATACATTAATTTTAGAATAATTGGTATTTTTACAAGCTTGAAACTTCCTGTCTATAAACATGATATAGCTACCCATTTATTGAAGTCATCTTCTAGGTTCTTTAATAATAACATTTAGTCATTTTCTTCAGAAAGCACATCCTTCATTAGGTTTATTCCTGGATACGGGATTATTTTTGTTTTGACTGTAAATATCATGGATTTTTTTCCCTATTAGATTTTCTTCCTGAGTTTTATTATTAGTTTTTATTTTAAAGATTTTATTTATTTTCGAGAAGGGGAGGGAGGAAGACAGGGAGGGAAACATCAGTGTGTGGTTGTCTCCCACATGTCCCTTACCGGGGACCTGGCCGGAAACTCAGGCATGTGCCCTAGACCTTCGACCCTTTGATTTGCAGGCCAGCACTCAATCCACTGAGCCACACCAGCTAGGGCTAGTTTCAATAGTTTATCAGTCATTTTTTTCTATATACTATCATATTATCTGCAAATAAGGGTAGTTATTCCTTTACCCCCGCCCCTCAATTCTTACACATTGTCTTTCTTTTCCTTCTTTTATTGTATTGGCTAAGACCAGTGGTAGTTGAGTAGAAGCAGTGATAATAGGCATCTTCATCTACTTCTTGACTTAATGGCAATGTTTTTAAGTTTCACTACAAAAATGATTTTGACTCTAAGTTTGGTACATGACTTCTGTCAAGTTAGGAACACTGACTTCTGTTTCCATACTTTTTAATTCATATGTTTGACTTTTCTTAACTCTTTTTTATAGGAAAATTAAAACACAGACAAAAATAGGCAGCCTAATATAACAACTCTTGTCTACCCATTACACAGCCTCAGTGACTGTTGGTTCATGGTCCGTCTTGTTTTATCTGTATTTCCGCTAAATTCTTCCCCTTCTGTGTTATCTGAAACAAATGCCAGACGTTGTTACGTCATGCTATCTGTAAATATTTCCGTGTGTATCCCTAAAAGATAATAATTCTTTTTTAAAGAGGAAAACAACCATAATATCATTATCAAACCAATTTAACAGTAATTCCTTCACCTTATTAATTGTACATCCATGTTCACACGTCCAATTTTATGAATACTGAATTTAACAAATAGCTTTCTGAACTCATCGTGTTGCTTAAGTGGGTTTGTCTTCTCTGATCTGTTTAAGCAGTGTACTTTAATTTTCTAATATTGAACCATTCCATCCTTCAATTATCGAGATCAACACAACTAGGTTATGCTTTATTTGATTTATTCATGTCCCTGAATTTAATTTGCTAGTGTTTTATTTAGAAACTCTGTATCTATGATAATAAAGGACATTGCTCATAATTTCTTTTTGTGCTCATTGGGTTTTGGTATCAACGTTAAGAATCTTATAAAGTGAGTTGGGTAGCTGAATTCATTAGCATACAATTCCCCAAGCTCCTATAACAAAAACCTACCCAAATACAGTTGCTTAAATAAGATAGAAATGTGTTTTTCATCCATAGTCTGGAAATGAATGGTCCAGGCTGGTGGCGCATATCCCCTTCATGTAGTCATTCGGAGACCCAGACTTTTCATTTTGTGTCTCTGCCAGCTCCTAAATCTTCATCTATGTGGCCAAAGGTGGCTCAGCTCTATGGCTGTGTTCCAGCCCATGGGGAGGGAAAATAGATAAAGTGGAGAACAAGCAATTACCTTTTTAAAAATATATTTTTTAATTTATTTTTAGACAGAGGGAAAGGGAGGGAGAAAAAGAGGGAGAGAAACATCAATGTTTGGTTGCCTCTCGCATGCCCCACATGGGGGAGCCTGGCCCACAACCCAGGCATGTGCCCCAACTAGGAATTGAACCAATGACCCTTTGGTTCAAAGGTCAGCACTCAATCCACTAAGTGCACCAGCCTGGGCACAAGCAATTACCTTTTAAATAAGTATTGTGTTTCCTAAAATTCGTATGTTGAAGTGTTAACCCCATTGCTTCAGAATGTGATCATGTTTGGAAACAGTATTATTGTAGATAAAGTTAGTTAAGATGAAGTGACACTGGAATAAAGTGGGCCCCTAATCCAGGGTGACTGGTATCCTCATAAAAAGGAGAAATTTGGACATCGACACCCCACAGAAAGAATACCAAAGCATGAAGACAGAGAACAGCCGAGGAACACTGCAGCTTGCCAGCAACTACCAGCAGCCAGGAGAGAGGGATGGCAGAGATTTCCCCTCATAACCCTCAGAAGGAACCAACCCCGATGACATCTTGGTATCAGACTCCTAGCCTCCAGGACTGTGCGAAAATAAATTTCTGTTGCTTAAGTCACCCTGTTTGTGGCACATTTACTGCAGCCCCAGGGAACTAATACAAATGCTGGAGAAGTAGCACACCATTTCTGCTCATAATTAAAGATGAGAATTTAGTCATACGACCACACCTAGTTGTAAGGGAGGTTGGGAAATGTAGCCTGTGGGTCCGCAACCCTGAGCCCTGCAAAACATCTCATTAGAAGGAGGACTTGGGAGGACGACTGCCACAGGAATTGAAAACATTTGTTTAAGAGAGTTTATTTGTGCCTTAAAGATTCAAGAAAATGAGTTTCTAAAATCATTTGCACCAGATACCTTTCAGGATAATAAACCTTTGATGTTCAACTCTCTGTTCTGTTTCTGGTTCACAGCAACATTAGTCCTGTTTTTGAGTCCAACTATGTGTATTGGCTTATCTTTTAAAATGTTTTTTATTCATCATGGCTTTGTGGTTGGAATAGAGAACTCAACACTTTTTTAAATTGAGATATAATTGACATGTAACATTATATTAGTTTTAGGTATACAACATAATGATTTGATAGTTGCATGTATTGCAAAATAATCACCACAATAAGTTTAGCTGACATCTATCACCATGTGTAGTTACAATTTTTTCCTTTTGATGAGAATTTTTAAGATTTACTCTCTTAGCAACTTTCGAATATATAATACAGTATCGTTAACTATAGTCACCAGAAAGTACATTACATTTCCAAGACTTATTTATCTGATAACTGGAAATTTGTACCTTTTACCCCCTTTACTTATTTCTTCCTGCCTCTGGCAATAACTAATCTGTTCTCTGAATCTATGAGTTCAGCTTTTTTAGACTCCATATATAAATAAGATCATACAGTATTTGTTTTTCTGTCTGGCTTATTTCACTTAGCATAATACCCTCAGCGTCCACCCATGTTGTGACAAATGGCAGCATTTCCTCCTTTTAATGGCTGAGTAATATTCCATCGACTATAGACAGCACAACTTCTATATCAATTTGTCCACTGATGGACACTTAGGTTACTTCCACATCTTGGCTCTTGTGAACAATGTTGCAATGAACATGGGGTGCAGCTATCTTTTCAAGATAGCAATTTTGTTCCCTTATAATACCCAGAAGTGGAATTACTGAATCAGATAGTGGTTCTATTTTTAATGTTTTGAGGAATGTGGTTCTATTTTTAATGTCTTCCTAGTGGCTGCTCCACTTCCACTACTCCATCTTGACCAGGAGTGCAGCAGGACCTGCTTAGGAAACTGTCACCGGTTCTGGCTGGAGACCAGGGAAATGGTAGTGGACAGGCTGGGTGCGGCTAATGGAGGAATGTACACACTCACAAACTCAGACTTCGTCCTCTAGATGATGGATGGATGATGAATGATTGCATGCGGGCATGCGGGTAAGTAAAATAACTGCGCATATGCGCGTTGGACATACTTCTCTCACTAAACTGGAGAGGTCAGGATGAAGAGCCATATGAAGCCAGAATGACCACCTGGGAAGAAATATCAATAATCTGGGTGAGACTTGCCAAGGGCCCACAAGGGAAGGTGATAGTGAGGCTGGTGAGATTGGGGACACCAACTTGGGAGATAGATAGAAAGTGTCAGATTGGGTGGATATCAAGGATGATGTTTAGTTCCTGGAAAACTGGTGGAAGGTGGTGCAACCTCCTAAGGTTGCACAAGAAATGCGAGGGAAGGAGCCGGTTTGTGGGAATTCATTTTATTTTGCAATTGTGCCAGTGGCTGGTTCTGCATGTTCTCTCCCAAAGTTCTGGTCCCATGACTCACCTGACAGAGGCACGTTTTTGAGTCCCTGCTTATGAGGCCTCAGACCTGGGGAGACAAGGATGGACAGGGCAGCAGCTGGGACAGGGGCCACCCAAAGGCTGCAGCTCTTTGGAGTGGGCATCCATCAGTGTAGGACATGCTATTCCTCAGGGTGTGTGGGTACCAGATTGGGTCTCTGAGAAAACTAGGGGGTGGAAAGCAGAGAGAGTTAAACCATGAGACATAAATAGATACCCGTAGAGAATGACAGACAGACCTATGAGCAAGGAATTCCAGTCTTCCGGTCGGTCAGATTTCAGTCCTTTACTCCCCGACTAGCATTTTGTGCTTCTAAATGACTTCTATTACCTGGGATCCAGCTTCCTACTGTAGATCTCCACCTCCCCCTACCCCCCCCCGGGGCAGATAATTAGAGAATTCAGTGGCTGAATACAAAGGAATCTTGGGGTCAGGAGCATAAACTCTATTTCTTACACCCAAGTTGATCAGGAGGTCAGCCATGTCTCTTGTTTCTGCTCCTTTCCCTCCTCCCACTCTCGATCTCTCCCTGAACTTCTAGTTTCCTCAGCTTCCCAGTTAGGGGGCTGGTGTTGCAGCCCTCCCCCCGCCCAGCCTGTCATCAGACTTGGTAGCAGCCTGAGCAGGTGGCAGAAGCCCCTCACCGGAGTCCGGGGTTCCTAGAGGAGTCAGCGCAGATCCTAGAAGTTTATTTTGTGAACAGCCTCGCACAGGAAGCTGCGAGTGGAGAACAAGCTGAAACATCACTCTCTCTCTCTCTCCACCTCACCCTGAGCTCTTAAGGAAACAGATGTGTCCCGCTGTCACGGTCTTGCTCACACTCTTTTTCTTATTGTGTATCTTAGGCAGAAACAGAATAATCGGATGTTAGGACCTGTGAAATCATAATCCAGCCCCTGCCTTTCATGCACAAGGCCCAGGGAGGTTAAATCACTTATTCAAGGTCAGACCAGGCACATTTCACTTGGCTCCCCCTCCCTGTCCCACCCTTGGCTCCCAAAGGGCTGTTAGTACTGTTGTGAGTAGAGATACTGATGACCTGTGTGAGGTGGGCTGAAAGCCCCCTGGGCCCTGTGCACAGGCAGCCTAGGCTCTGAGCTGGGGGTCCACACGTCTCTCTGTAGCCGTGAACACGGGACAGGCTGCTTGCCTTAGCGGGCCTCGGCCCTGCAGGCCCCTGCACCTGGGGTTGAAAGAATGAATAGGGACCTTGTTTGGTAGGAATTTCTTTCCTCTGCTGTTTGCTTTGGGTTTTTTCCCTCTCCATTCCTGGCTGCTAACCCAATATTTGGCTTTCTGTGAGCACTAAATATAATTCTTCATTTAACCCCCAGAATCATGGTTTCCTACCTGCTTCCCACGACCGGATCCGCAACGCGGTATGAAAACAGAACCCAGAGGGCATCAGGGCTGAGGGGGCAGCGGTTCCGGAGAGGGGAGGAGCAGGGGCGGGCGGCTGCGGGGAGGGAGAGAGCGAGCGAGCACTCACCCACGCTGGCTATCTCTCAGACAACTGGAGAAAGGGAGGGATGCGGGCAGGGAGCGACTCATTGACTCCTGACCCCGCTTTCTCGCATCCAGGGCCTGGATCCTCTCCTCCCAGCCCCGAAGGAGGCCTGGCCCGCAGCACAGCTGCACACGCCAGCATTCCAGGGTCAGGGAATAGTAAGGTCAATCTGGGGCACAGTGAAAACAAACAAAACCTACTCCCTAAGCTCGCTGGCCCTCGGTCCCCGCCCCTCCTCCTGCGGGCCGCCCCCTCCGCTCCGGCCCCGCGTGTAGGCCAGCGGCAGCTCTCTTGGACCGAGGGCCCGGTGCAGCCTGCACCTTCCGGCTCTCCTCGCCCGCGGCAGTCACCGCAGCAGCAGGCAGGGAGAGCTAACTCGAACCGAGCAGTGGAAAATTCCCCTCCGAGGCCTCCCGCGAGGCGCGATTCCAGCAGCTGCTATTGAACACCAGGGCTTGTTAGGCACCTGGCTTTCAGGTCCCCCACCGGCCAAGCTCCCCAGCCAGGGACCAGGCGGCCGGGCCGGGGAAGGAGAGCCAGGAGCCCCGCTCCCCAGCACGGGTCCGTGCTAGCGCCTGGGAAAACTTGCTCTGACACCAGACGCGGTTTCCAGATTTGGTGGCAGTACATTCCGTCTCCCTTTGGTTGAGCAGGAAAACCGGAGACGGTGCTTCCTACCACCTGATTTACAGCCTTGGCATATTTTTGACGCACAAATCACTCTGGAGAGGGAACTCAATTATGGCTGTGCAGAGGCGATGCAGGCAGGAGCGCTTCCTGCCAGGCGGGCAGGGCGCGCTCGGGTTGCCTCTGCAGCTAAGGACAGGTCGGGCCTGGAGGTGGTGGAGCCCCCTTTCTGGCTGAACCGCGGTCCACTCCTTCCCGCCCCCACCTCCTGCAACGCGGCCGATGCCCCAGTGGGTCGTGTCCGGGCCTGGGGTCCACATTGGATGGCAGGGGAGAGGCAAAAGGTTACGAAAGCCATGCTAACTTTCCTCTGCCCCTTTGTCCCCTTCCGGGCCTGCGCCCGCCGTATTTCTTCACGTCTGTCTGTGGAGCACTAGCCGGGCGCTGGGCACTGTGTTACGTAAGAGACAGGACCGCAAAAGCCTGAAACAAGGGCAGAATGTAATTAGTGCCATAAAACAGTTACAGATAAGGTGGGTGCTTGGGATTGAAGATCCCTCTTGGCAGGGGGCAGAGGAAGCTTCAAGGAAGGTAATAGTAATGATTGTTTCCCCCCACTACCCCCCGCAGGAGACAGACTCTCTCTAGAAGACCCCTGATGTGGGTCCCTGAAGTGGTCTCTGAGGATTTCCCAAAGGATCTCAGATCTAGAACTTTCCTCTCAGTTTTCTCTCCATATCCCTCCCCCAAGCAGAACCTGCCTAGAGCACTGTTTTATTTTTATTTTTTTAAGATTTTATTTATTTACTTTTAGAGGAGGGGAAGGGAAGGAGAAAGAGAGGAAGAGAAACACTGATGTGTGAGAGAAACACCCATCGGTTGCCTCTCTCACGCCCCAACCATGAACTTGGCTGCACAACCCAGGCATGTGCCCTGACCGGGAATTGAACTGGTAAACTTTTGCTTTTCAGGCTAGCACTCAAAGCACTCAACCCACTGAGCCAGACCAGCCAGGGGGTGGGCTCATTCTTTGCTCAGGGTGGTCTGCTCCCTGATACCTGGTTTCCCTGCCACCCCTCCCAGCCCCTACCCCATCCAGACCAGGAGGAGGTCCCCTCTGCCCACCATGCTGTGTCATTCCACTCCCACATCAACAGAGGGCTGATTGTGTCCCCAGCCACTGATGGGGTGCCTGGGACACAAAGATGAAGGAGAAAGAAGATCTGCTCCCCTTGAGGGTGTCACAGTCCATTAACATTTGGATGGCGCTTTCCAGGTTACAAAGCACTTAGACTCGCTGCACTTGGCTTTCCTCTCCTCAGGTCTGGGGGGGCGGGTATTGTAAAGACCCCCGTGGAGACAAGTGACACAAAGCTCAGCTTCTTAGTTGTTTCCCCACATTCCTGCCATCAGCTGGCGGGACTTGCTTTCAAGTCCCACTCTTGTCACGGCGATTCCCCCATAAAAGACCCTCGTCACTGGGTTGTTGTAAAGATCAAACGTGTAACACAGCATACATCTGGCATGTAGAAGGCCCACTATCAGGTTAGTTTTTCTTTTTTCTTTTTGGGTGTAGGAACCTGTTGTATGTTTATGTGAATCTCCCTGAGCATGGATTCCAGTGGAAACTCCGGCTTCCATCCTTCTCTCCTGGCCTTGGTTCCTTCTGAGGGTCAGGGAGGCTGGGATCAGGGGAAGGGGGAGGCGCGGAGGGTGCCGCCCACAAGGTGGGAGAGACATCTGGGGCTTTATTAACACAGGAACTGCATCCTTGGCTCATCCCAGTGGGCAGAGGCTGGGGCAAGTTGGTATCCTGTCCCGCCCGCCGGCGGAGGCAGCCTGTGGATTTGGTGACAGATGTCTCTGAGGAGATGAATGAAGCAATTGTGCACGGGGTGTAGACGAGATCCCAGACAGAAGAGATGTTTTCAGTGCCAATAACCCTGAGATGGAGGGTTTCACCGAGTCAACAAACAGAGTTACAGGCGCCGGCTTCCCTTTGATGGTCCTGTGAGCGCTTGTTCGCTTCCAACGCGGTTCTTGACACAGATGGACCATATCTAAAAGCTCTTATTCTCTCCCTCATTTTATCCACCCCTCCTACCAACTGGAAGGATTCCTAACTCAGATTCTTGGACACCTCAGGCAGCTAACGGAATCTTGGTGGGTGAGGTCCCAAACCGGAAAAATAGTTTTGACATAGCTCCGTAGATGCCCCTCTTGGCTCAGCACTGGTTTCAGAAACATCTGATGACCAGATTAAAAGAGGTCTTCGAGAAGTTTGGGGGGCGCTTTGAGGGGAGAAGGGCTCTCCTTGCTGGCTGATCAGAGGTCAAGAGGATAGCTAAGGGCTGGCTGAGTGTAGAGATAGATTTGCAAAATATTTGTTTGGTGAATATTGGATTTTTAAACATTTTTCTCTGGAAACTTGAGGTAAGGGTGGGCGGGTCACAGGGATGGAGGAGCCAGAGAAGTGTGGCCCTGGCTTATCATCAGTGAAGGGCAAGACAAGCAGTATGAGGCCCTCCCCAATGCGGTTGAGAACTGTATGTGAAAAGCATTTAGCATGAAGCAGTCCTGGTGAACAGGAGAAAAGCAGCCAGACTGGGGTGGGAGTTGGCAGGGCTGGGGGCAGAGAAGGTGAGATTTAGAAATTGGCGGGCAGAGGCAATGCTGGCCAGGAGATATCCGAGGGGAACACTGCCTTCTCTTCCAAAGATTTAGAAGCCTATTCCATTCTGCCTTAAGAAGGTATCCCAAGACCAAGTTTCCTGGCAGTCCCAGAGATTGCTCCGGGATTGCTGGGAGAATGGGTGAACTTGGCAGTGGAGAGGATGCTCTAGCCCTAAGGTTCTCTGGGCGGCACCTTGGTCTATATCAGCCAAGCCAGCGCCTTTCATCGACCCCACAGCCGGGGAGGCAATAAGATGGCTCTGAGGGGAGAGAGAGCAAGGTCGGAAACAGAAACTGTAATTAAGTCTTTTTTTACCCACCCTAACTCCCAGCAGGAATTTATTCTTGGTGCTCAGTGGGGGGGAAGAAGGAGCAGAATATGAGCAAAAAGGCTGCTTCTGACCTTGTGGCCTTTCTGGTGATTGGGAGGAGAGGTTTTTAGATTGAAGAAGAGATTTCTTTGAGCATCTTCTGAAAACAGTGAGTAAGGCCTCTAGTTTGACCCTTTCCAGATTCCACTGCCACTTTGGAGCAGAGAGAAGGCCAAAGCATTGAGCACTGGCATTCTCCAGCTAATCCAGTTGCTGGGTCTTCTCTCCTTGGGTCTTAGGTTGAATGTGGACAATATCCCGCTGGGATAACTAGAGTCAACCCACTCGTGTGGGCAGGGGCAGGTGTGGCCACGGTCAGCCAGGGACTTCTGTTTTCCAGATTGGTGGCCTGTGCTTTGGCTGAGGAGGTCTTGGACGCGGGCTCCATCAGCAGCTCCTCCTCCTCCTCTTCCCCTGGAGTCAGACGAGAGTGGGAACTCCAGGTGTGAGGATGCTGAGCGAGAAAGCAGAGGCAGAAGATTAGCTGTTTTGCCAGCTCTCCCTTCCCAGTCCTTCCTTCCTTCCAGGGGCTGTTGGGAAAAGTGGTCTCTTCCTCCTGCCTCATCCCTGTGTGTTCTCTGCTCCGCCAGCCCCACAGCCGGCTCCTCTTTCCCCCAGATTGGATCTGGGGCCAAGGAAGCACGGCCAAGTGTGCAACTTGGTCTGGTCTCCTGCGGAAAGGATTCCAACATCTCCCATTTGACAAAAGCCAAAGGCTACAAGAAATAGAACATGGGGTTCGACTTCTTGGAGCTGGGACTGAAAACACTTCACCTCAAGAAGAAAAACTACCAGCCACTCAGGGAGCAGCCTCCAAAATGAAGATTTAGGAACCTGTTCCTTTGCTCCAGCTGCTCCTTGGGGCAAAACTCTCTTCCACTTGCATTCTTATAAAAAAGAAATCTCCATTTCATTAGGGGTGTCTCCCCCATTTCATTCCTCCCTCCTGGAACTCACCCTTTCCCTCTCCTCCGCAGCACCTGCGGAGCCAGCTGGAGCCTGAAGTGTTTCCCACATGTGTATATGCAATTTCCTTTCCACAATTAATAGTTAGTCATCCTGACCATGGCCACACGTGTGACTTCACTGGCATCTCAGCTGGGGACGAGTGGGCTGGGGAGGGGAGGAGAGTTCTGGCAGAGCCCTAGCCCTTGACACTGGCCAGCCCTGCCCTCATACTGAGGGTGCCTGCATTCCTCACCCTCCACCTCTAACCACCCCTCAGTCCTGCTGTCTTGTTCTCTTTAATACATCTCTCTCTGTCGCCCCCCTCTCAATCCCTGCCACTGTCACCTTGGCGGAGGCCACCCAGATTCTTGCAATAGCCTCTGCCCACCGCCCTTGCTCCTTCGTGACATCCCCATGCTGAGACCAGAGTGATTTTTCTGAACTTGAGTGTGGCTACACCATCCCCTACTTGGAGTCCTCACAGTCTTTACAATGACATCCAAGGGTGCGGTGCGACCTTTCTGGAAACTGCTAGGATTTG